TATATATAATTTATTTATTAGATCCTCTCTAATATACAATCTCTCTCTGTGTCTCTCTCACACACAAGCATGTGTCTTCTGCTGCTTCTCTGCATATCCCGGGATCTGGAATGGGCAGGGATTTTGTCCGTGGCTGGTGTGAGGCCTCTTACAACCAACACCTCACTGGGGATGCCCTGTTGGCACGCTTGTGGTCCACCATCAGAATATGCACGCAGATCCCCCTACATGCTCCCCCCGTGACATGCTGTGCAGGGCACTAACCACTAAATAAGACTTTACGCCGACACACCGAGTCTCTCTAGCAGCCCCCCTGGTCTTCCCCGTCAGAACTCAACGTGTTCCTAATCACTTTTCCAGAACTCCTCTCAACAAATCTTCCATTATTGTCAGACTGTTGACTTGTTCTCAAATTGCCTCTTCAGCCCAGCTCTGTCCTGGGTCATCTCCACCTGGTATCTTTCTTTGCCTTGTTTGTTCCAACCTAGAATCTCACTAATTTGTCCAGATACTGCAGATGAATACATTTCCCCATGAACACTGACACGGCTACTTATTCCTTTGTGGCGTTCCTCGTCCTTCAGTAAATCACCAGGATGACACTTTGACACTTGACATGGACACAGAGTGTGTTCTCACTGTGTTTGCTAGGTTTCACTCTGCACACATTCTCTTCTCCCCAACAATGCCACTGCTACAAGTGCCCTGGGAATATGGAAATAGTTTTCAAAGTTAAGTACGGTATATGGTACTGGCGTATAGTGAGCTCTCCGTTAAAACGTTGCAGGTTGGGAGTTTATTTTTTAACATGCTGATGAAACTTTGCGTTGCACAATCCATAAGTATTGCTTCAGAAGTATTCCCTATTTAATAAAGTTGAGTTACTACGACACTGCCTTAGTACCTTAAAAAGTAAATAAAAAGTGCCTTTAGCACTGGAATGCAAACAGTGGATTAACACACCACCACATCATTAGAACAAAAACTCTGGAGTCGGTAACTCAAATTCAGTACAATAAATAACCATATGTATTTTGGTTTTAAGTGTGTCTTCATAGAGTTCTGGTGACAACTAGAAATAAATTCTATAAGCAGGGCAGGAGTCATTTAGTGAAATTAATGTATCATAAAATTCTCATTAGGTAGCAACAGGAGACTGTTAGGATGCATGAAAATCCCATCCTATGGACGTTACAACTTCTGTGGGACTGGGCGGAATCAGTGGTATGCACCTGCTTTGCACGTTTTCATGTTCCTTTTTAGTTTCAGTCATTTTAGGTTTTTGTGAAAAGATGTTATTGCCTAAAGTCCATGACAATTACTGCTTTATCAAATTATGAGTGCCAGGGTTTGTACTTCAATTTTTAATGCCAAAATACATTACAAAGACCATTCCTTGTTGAATTTTAGAAGTAGGAGACAAGAAACAAAGTTAATGCTATAATTCCTTCAAAGATGAAGAATCACTAGGGAAAGTGATGAAAATAAAGAGAAAGGAAAAATAAAAATAATGAAAAATTAATCATTATATTAATGCCTACTTATGATTACTTATATACTCCATATGGCCTTTACTCTCCAATGTCAGGTGAAGTATGAGAAATGGAAAAGATAATTTTCCTAAGTGATTTCAGTACCTGTTTATTCTTTCTGAATAATTGGTAGATGTGACTAAATACAGCTTTCTGAATTTAGAATCTCCCATTACAATCTACCCAGGAGTAAGCTTTATAAAAATCTAGTGACGCCATCCGTCACGCCCTGCAGGGGTCCCCCCACCACCTTCTCCAACACGCACAGAGAAATCTTTACGATGTGGCACATCTAATTTCCTGTAATGTGACATGTCAGTGCTCTGGGTCTGTGCTTTTATTCATGCAATTACCTGCCAGACAGCTTCCAATCCCTCCCAATTTTCTTCTCGTCAATACTCATCCTTCATGAGTAAATGCCAGCACTGCCTCCTTTTCTGTGTTTTCTGCACATGCCGCTCAGATTTTATCATCTTGTCTGCTTGGTGTTATAGAAACTGCTAGTGCCCCACCTGTGGCCCTCAGAGCAGGTATACTCTTTGGCCAACTTCTACCTGCTGGTGTGTGCAGTCTGACTGAATACTCCTGTATCTGAGCTGCAGAGACCTGGCCGCTTGTTTGCACTGGAGGCAAGAAGTACTGGAAATGCCCTCCAAAGCATCAGTGACCGAGAACTGTCAGGGTTTCGCACATGAATTTGCCAGTTCCCTCGCTTCTCAGGATTGATAACTCCAGGCCATATGATTTCCTAGATTTGTTGTTGGGATTGAGCTCCAGTTCTCCTCACGAGGACTTGTGCAGTAGCCAGCCCTGCACTGGTACCTGTCTTTTCCCTGCATCACTTCCTCACTTTCCTGTTAGTGTCACTTGAACTCCTCAATCTTTTGTCTACAGGTCTTTTCTGGCCGAGTTCATGGTGAGAGTTTTGACGCCAGAGGTATTATTATACAGGGTTCTGGAGTTGATGGCTTGCTGGCTACATGACATCAAGACTCCCGGGCGCACTGTCGCGGCACAATTACAAACCTCTCCCCTGCGGCGAGCTGGGGTGGCATAAAAGCACAAGGGAACGTATGCCTTATGTGACCTCCGCAGGATTTGAGAGAGAGTCTGACAATGATGACGATAATGGCTGTGAAGTTGTTGTAAGTTATCGTCAAAGCTCTAAGGGAAAACACTGATGAGCTCCAACTGTTGAGCGAAACCCCCAGGGCTTGGTGTGGAAGGCAGAGGGTCTTTGTGACATTGTTTAAAGAAGCCCTCCTCTTCTGCAGCCAGAGAGGAAACTGGACTGAATGCCAGACCCTATATCTGACTGGAAGTGCAGCTGCCTGGTAGAGAAGGCTTGCTTCAAAGCACCAGAAAACCTCCTGTTCACGGCTCGCGGCATTAACAGGGAAAGGGTACGATCCCAAAGTCTGGACTCACACACTGGGATGCCCCACTCCTTCCGAGAGAAGGGTTCTTCCCTTGCCTGTGGCCCACACAGATGCCTCATCTCAGGTAGATGCTTCACAACAGGGGTGTCATCCTCAAAATGTGCCCTCAGCTTATGGCTTCTAGACCCTTTACCAAGTTCAAGACCAAGTATGGCCCAGCTGAGGAAATATTTCCCCTGCTATAAGAAAAATGGGATTATGCATCAAAGGAACTACAGAAACTGGCTAATAAAAACTGGCTAATAAATAAGTCAAGAAGGAGAACACGTTGGACAAAAGTTGTGTGTGAAATACAGGTACCCAGAGAATGCTGAGGGCATGTTTACACAACCAGATGAATTTACCTCCAAACATCTGTATTTTGAGGGATGCACCTACAAATTCATAGTTAATGGTAGAGCTATCACATATTTCTCTACAAATATCTTAGTATAATTCCAGAAAATAAAAATATATATTAAGAAAAGAATACTTTAAATTAATCAACATTTAAAACACCTGATGGTCCTAAAATGTAAATCAACAAGCTTAACGAGGTAAAGCCAAATGGACACAATGTGATTTACGGGGAAAAAAATCTGGAAGAGTATCCGGCACTGTGATTGAGAATGAAGGCACTTTACTGGTGTTTCGCCTCATACCCAAGTGATCTCGCTGATCGCTTTCAACACTTCTAATGGTCCACTGTACCCTGCATTAGCTGAATGTCTTTTTGAAATTAAAATATATGAAATGTATTCACTTAAAAAATGCACTTGATATATACGCGCCACTTACCCTTACTTGACCCACAAACGCATTGGCTTCTTCTTCGACCACGGACAGATTTCGAGGCAGATAGGGATCGAACACTGGGGCGTTGTCATTGACATCTGTCACTAACACATTTACCGTGGCAGTTGAGGTCTTAAAAGAAACAACAAAAAAGATTCCATGTGAAAAGAGTTATTTTTGTTTTGATGTCAGCTAATTGGCCATCTTGGCATTTGTCTAGCTGAAGAGCATCTCATTACTATTCCTAGTCCCTAGCTTTCCAAAAAAGGAAAAAGAAGAAAAAAAAGGAGGAAGCTTGCAATTTTCAAGCACCTCAAAAACCCACATGGAAAAAGCAAATGATGACATTAAAGGGCAAACATCTTCTTGAAAATGTCAAGTATTTCCTGGAGGCTTACTTTTAGGAAGTGATTTTGCCTTTATCTTGTTCACATTTTACGGGTGGCAAGCTTTTGTTTATACACACGTGTACCTCCTTTTCTCTGAAATGTAACACTTCCGTAGCCTTGATCACTTACATTTTTCACTACTTAGAAAATAAAACTTGTACATTATAAAAGAGCACAGTGCATCAAGTGGGTATTTTCAGGTAAGTAAGTGCTATCAGAAAATACTATAGTCATCATTTTCGGGGTTCACATATAAACCAGGAGTCTGAGCATCATATACCATGAGTGAAGTGATTACCTTGGGATCATACAGCCCAAGAAAAAGGTAAGCAGGCACATCTACCAGTAGTATGTGCTACCTGGTGAAAAGGTACGTCCTTGGCCTGTTGCAACCAGAGTCTATTATGTAGGTCAACGACTTTTGCACAATCAAGGAACATCAGATGTGAGCCAAGCAGGAAATGGTTCTCTCTAATCAAAGCCTGAGAACAAATGCCCTGCCCCCAGCTCTGTCACAGTGTGGGGTAGATCACAGAAGCCTGGGGCCAGAATCAGAGAAAGAAAGAGTTCTCAGCTGGAACTTGAAAAATCTGTTATGCTACGACACTATGTGACAAGATGTAAATAAAAAGTAGTAGAAAAAAAGCAGGAGAAAATAATTACCCAAATTTTGTTTTAAAATATACCAACACAGTTTGTCCTACTTGCAAATGATGTGCGGTGAAAGGCTGACATGCTGAGCAGAAATACGAGGTTCAGAGGGAGTGACTGAGGAGACAGCCATCAGGGACCGAGGGATCAAACACTGCATTCCTCAGCCACCAAAGAGGCCAGGACCTGGGAAATGTCCCCTCCTTCCCGTTGGGATCACTGAAGTTCTACACTCTCTTAATAATTCTTCATGGGGTCTAGACCATGCCTCACTGTGACTAAAACCCAACTTTCAAACTCTGATTGAATTAGGGTGGTTTTCTCCTATTTTAACAGAGGCAAAAGTATATCCTCTTTTGAGCAATATGACTTTACCCCAAGATTTATTATTTTTTCACATGCAATATCTAGGAGTCATTAAATTTACCATGCATAGCAGGGAATTCTTGGGTATCCATAATGGGTTCTTTCTCTATTTGTGTGCTGGCTACGTTGGTGGGTTTATTATGTGAAAATTCATACAACCATTCAGTATGATTTGTACATGTTTTTATATGTAAAAGTCCAGTAAAATTTTTATTTAAAGGCATGCCAATGATGACCAGAAGAGTGCTGTCTAGTCAAAATGAGGAAACAACCTAAATGCCTACCCATAAAGATGCTTATATAGATTGCTTTCTGTGTACAGTAGAAGAATATACAGTACTGAGAATGAACAAATCACTATAACAAGTAACCACACAGATAATCTTCATGAACATAAGGCAAAGTGTAAGAAATCAGACACAAAGCACCACACACCATATGACTCCCAGGGTATACATTTCAAAGATTGGCAAATGTCTCCACTGTGAGAGAAGTCAGAATAGGGTCACGTTTGTGAAGAAGGTGGGCTGGGAATGCCACAGCCATAAGGCTGGGCTTTTGGGGGCCAATTAATTTCTGTTTCTTGCTCTAAGTGTTGATTACATAAATGTGTTCACTATGTGAAAATTCGTTAAGCTGCACAAGTGAGGTTTGGGCATTCTTCTGTGTGCGTATCTCCGTGAAACTACTTAATTTAAAAGATGCACAAGCACAAGCTCACACTTGTATGTAGATATATGTGGGTCTCTATAAAGCCAAATAGGATCTGATTCAATGACATACAGAAAATTTAATTTGCTTCTTTTAATTTTTATATATTTTCCAAATTTTCTCCAACAAGGCTACCTTCCTTTTGTAACAAAAAACAGCTTAACAAATGTTATTTCTCTCAAAGTTGTGTAAGAGATAAAACCAGCAAAAGGATGTTTTTATAGTAGTAGTAGTTCCCAATTTGCCTGAGAGTGAATAGGACATTAAAAGTGACAGTGTGGAGTCAAAACCTAAGAGCAGCCACACTAGAGTCTGCTGACTTTCCTTCAAATTGTCTGACCCTCTTTATACCAGTCTATCTGTATTTCCTTGTCAATCTTCTAAATGGATTTCCATCCTATTCTTCCAAATCCCCATTCTTGACACTGTAGTGTATGATGTTTTCAGACTGTTTTGGTGCTCAAAGACTACGGATTGTAGTTGAGTAATGCAGAAGACAGCTGGATCACCAAGTAATCTGGAAAGTTAAACAAGTCTGCCATTTTGTGCTAATAGGGACTGAAATTTAAGGACCATGTAGATGTATTTCTCTATAACTTAGTAACTGTGTATGACATGAGGAGAATCCATGTCTCTCTTTATAGAATTATTAAGTAAAAATGCACATAGAATAATTTCTAGCTTATGTATTTCTTGAAGTGTAGTCTGAAAACCATTTACATCAGAATCACTTGGTTAATCATTAAAAATGCCCGGGTGACACCTTAGACCTACTGATTCTATTCATTTAAATCTACTGAAAGAGTAGATTAGTTAGTTGTAAAGCACAATCATGTACAATTTTTGGTTGGTTCAGGAAGACGGCAATCATACTTCAACATGGTTCTGTGCCCTACAGGGTGTTTATGTATCTTATCAAGCACAGATTTTCAGTTGGTTAAGATGAAATACTTAGGAAATCAGCTCAGGTCATTTTAGGTAAAGTAGGTAAAAAGAACACTATGTTAGCTAACACATGTTCCCAATTGATCTGAAAATCAATTTATATTATTCCAATCACATAAAAAAGATCAGATACCAAACTAACAAGCTTGATCAGTGCAAAGCTACCTGCTTTGCATCAAGGAGATCTGTCTTACTGCCTATTGTCTCAGAAGTTGTACCGACTTCTAACTTCACTACACCAGCTGGAAATAGTTGCAGTTAAATACTACATTCCACCAATTATCACTTTTGGGCTCATTACTTACTTTAATTATAATGTGTCACAGATTTTTATTTTGTTTTGCATCATGGATAAATCCTTACAGCACATATTAGAATTCTCAACAATGCAAGCAGGTTGTTGTAAGAGACAATGTGGATACACATTTATTTTCAGAAACTGTATGGCCCTGAAATAAAGTCACTGATATGGTATATTTGGTTTGGAATAGTATAAAACACGTGAGATGTAAAGTCAAAGTCAAAAACAAACAAACAGAAAAAATACAAACATATGCATGTTCATCTACACAAACCATTTTTTATTATTCATGAGAACTTTTTTTTAAAAATATCTTGTAATCTTCCTCTATTTTACATTATGGACTTTATTGAATCTATCAAGCTAATTTCTTAAATTATTGAAAACTTGGTTTAACTAGAAGATATTTAGGGTGTTCAAAATATATTCATTCTCCAGTCACTGAAGATATAATTATGATGATTTCTACTGACATGGGCCTAAATGAAACTATATACTCATAAACTGACAGAAGAATCTGCACTATATACTATATAATTGAGAAATAGAAAATGGAACGATGTAGCCGCCTTTTTCTTTTTGTCAATGTAGAAATGTATCCATAGACACACAGACACACACACACACCCTTTACAAGTTTCTATGGACATGCATGTTCAAAATAACTTTTATTAGTACATTTAATTCCTTTCAATAAAAATGGAAACAATGAGGATGTGTCTAGGATCTGACCATTTTTGTCGCTCAATAGGACAAGGAGAAGGTATACACTCTGCATTGAGCATTCTTTTTAGGAAGTGCTAATCCAAAACATTTTTATTCATAGCTACAAGTCATCCTGTGGCTACAACATCAAGAGGCAAGCCAGGCTGACCCAGATTCTAGAGTTTCTCCGATGACCGAGGGCGACCTTCCTAGCAGTGAGGCTGACATGGGGGGCTTTTTCCCCTTCTGAGAATGAAAGAGTACGAATGTCTCCCAGAAAAGTAGGAAAAGGGGTGCCTTCCTGTCTGGATTACGGGAGCAGAAGGGGAGACACAGAGAGGACAAGGAGATCGGGTGCAAAGGTCCTCCTCTCCACCCCTTGTCCTCCACCACTCTGGGCCACGTCTACACCCACCAGGCACTGGAACAGCACTTAGGGAACGTGGTGATAGGTGCTGAGAAAGTAAGAGAACTTGGGGAGAAACGGTGGCTGACTCGCATGGAATATGGAAGCCTCCAGAGAATCTCCATGGCAGTCACATCTAATAGCACCTCGTGGTGAATATGCAGCAGTGGCGAGGACAGGTGGCTAGAGAGAGAATCGGGGTTTCTTTGTGTGCTCAGGAATCGCAGATGCTGAGAGATCACTACCTGAGCAAGGCCTCGGGTGAGGGCGGAGGACCTCGGTGGTCATGTCAATTCACATCAATTCATGTCAGCTCTACGTGGCAATGGATGCACCAAACACCCAAAGGGTCATTAGGGAACTGGATCAAATTAAAAAGCCCGCAGTTGAGAGGCCAAAACAGACACACACGCACCATATAAACAGACGCCAGCACAGATGGAGGCATTCAAGCTGGGTGCCCCCCTCCCCACACCAAGAACCAGTAATCACACCTGCCCCTGTACAATTTTAGGGTGAGGGCCGGGAAGAGAGGAGGAGACAATCAGCAGCTGCACTGGTGAGTGTTCACCTAGAAGAGTATTTAAAACCTAAGATGCTGGGATGTTGTTTTAAGCAAGTGGGACCTGACCCAGCCCAGATACACATTACAATCTAG